TCATTTTCGAAAGTACACACATACAATAGTTATTACCCTTTCCTTTATTGAGGCCCATGATCTCCGATGTCAGGTGTTCATTTCAGTCAATGAAATATACAAGTGTCAATTTGCAAACGACACGATTATTACTTGCAATGACTTATAAATACATTGTTATATTTTCGATTTCCTTCGATAAGCTCAAACTTCAAGGAGGGTTTTAACACAGATACCAGAGTAAGAAATCATAGGTTATGAATGACAACTTCTGGTGTATTGTAATAAACCCGAATCTGTCATCCATAACGACGCGTTTTGATATTTACACGCTAACATCTTAAATACCTTTCAAGCAGATGCGAATGTACAACTCATACATAAGCTATGTCGGTTGTGTAGTCACATTATTACTCCGAGATGAAGCGGAAGAAGTTTATCGAAGCGGATATGTGATGCTCCAGATGCTGCGGTAATTCCATGTTCAATGGGGATGGGTTCCTACACGCAGAAAGAGGTTTACTGTTTAAATTGAACTACGCATCGTAAATTTGACCTTAAATGCCATCCACGGATTCATTCGTACTTCACCCACGTGGATTACACACAAAACTATCATTCATATTTTGAACGCATGCCATAATTTCTTTTATAACATCACCTGTCGCTCTAACCGTTCATATAGCAGGCGTCTGCATGCTCACAAAGACGTGATTGTCTTGAAAGGTTCCGCTTGTATTTTTTGTTGAGAAAATGTCTGGCATAGTTTCTGGGTATGTACAATATACTTTGTCAGACGTGGTGACAGGGTGTTAACATGGAGGACAAAACAGATGGCTTCTATCACGACGGTTATACCTGGAAACTGACTGGGAAAACTCGTTTATCCTGGGATTGCTTATGAAATGGTACTTGTACATTCCGGGTTATCGAGGTAAAGAACCTTCCCAAACAGTGATCGTTGGATTTCCGGAAAAGATGCTTCATGTAAAGATATATCATGATTTATTACTTGCCCGTGGAAGATACTGTAATGTAATATTTTACGGCAATATTACTTTTGTGTAATACCGCTAGACGTATGACGTCATAATGGTTTACAGCTATGACGTCACAATGCTAATGCCTCTGCCACAATGGTAGTAGACCTTGCTTGACTCGAGGAAAGCTGAGAGTCATTACACTGTAGGCAGTTTCTATCAATTTATTTTGGAGAGTAATAAACAGAATACTAAAGTCGCTTCCGTGAAATACCATTTTTATTAAACTCGTGAAAGGTTTAGTATCAAACTCGCTTGTTTGATACCAAATCATTAACCTGTCTAATAAAATGGTATTACACGGAAAGTCGTTTAGTATTCTCTATGTATCTATAGTGTGGCGAGTCGTTGTATAGCAGCGCAAGGAAGTGGTGACGCCAGGGTTAAGATCGCATTTAACACTGTATCACTTTGGGTTTATTTCGTGTGGGAGAAAGCTCAAGTGACGCAGGTTTTTGTAATGTGTGAAAACCATTTGCAAATAAAAATCTCCATTTGTGAATCACAATGAAATTGTATTAGTACAATCCTTCTCGAAAAGGTGAGTGTGTCATGCCCCACCTGAGTAACCCATCATAAACACACGCAAAGGCAAGTCAAGGTAATTGAGTCGTTAATGTAGTGTTATAAACTAAAGCCGCAGAAGAATAATTTGCCGATTACGACTGTAAACTACACAAATGTTGTTTGAAAAGGGTTTTCTCAAGTTTTTCTTTTCATTTGCAAATCTCACGTGAAATTTAATTATATTTTATTTAGGGAAAAACGGATGGTTTATGCACATGTAATCACATGAACTTCGAGCTACCATTAACGATATTCGAATGTTTCAACAGATATAGGCCAGGATATATTGAATATTTTGTTACCTTCACGCTCGACATATCATGGTAATAGGACCTGCACGTGTGTCTCGGCGACACCTGGTGTCAGAATGGTAATATAATGATTTGCGATTCTATGTTTTTGAGTTAGTCATTTGTGGTGTTTTTTATTTGACCTTTCATTGTCCTGTAACAAAAAAACGTTCTCTCTGTCAGACAATGTATCAATTTCCATTTTCACCAACTTTGGACTTATATCAAGTGTTTTCTGTCTACATTAAACCGGTAATATATGCGAGCACGGCTTTTAATAGACATATCTCACATTTTTACACCTTTGTCAACGTATAGATATGTACATATACTTACACTTAGGTTTGATAAGACTCACATTAACGAGAGACTATTGAGAAATATTTCCCACACCGGTTTATAAATCTACTCAACCTTGTCAGACAGCACAATAAACATGAATAACTGCTTTATCACGATATATCAACACCACCTGCGTCTTGAGCATTAGATAAAAACCGAAACATTGAAGTGTATTATACACTAATATATACCTTGTACTTGTCGATTACACTAGTGGTTGTTAGTGGGTCGACCTTCCCAGTTGTTCAGAGGGTTTAATGCTTGTTTAGTGGCGTATTGCTAAAGTAATATGCAATTTTGTGATTCATCGGTTTAGATTGTAGTTGTTTCGTAAAGGTCGTTCCGATACTAGCCTCTGAGTCATGTTGATGGTTATATATCACCTGTTAACTTGTAAATCGTACTGTGTGTAAATAGTTAATACTGGGGTTGTACAGGTGTGAACGTGTTAACAGTGACTTGTAATAGTATAGTGTATACAATGTGTAATAACTAGTCTGATGGACACTGTATTTTGTACGATGACTTCTAAGATTAACGGTTGGTGAAATTATCAAACAAATTGAGAACTGTCAATCAAAGTGTGATTTTTACTTCTGATTTTTTGTAATGCTGAGCATTTTTGTAATTTTGGAAGATATTTAACTACGAAGTGAAAATGAAGCAAATAGTTGAATCGTTGCACGAATGAGGGAGTGTTCGGGTTTTTCTTGAAAAGGGGCTTAGGTGACTGGTTGCACACTGGGGTTGTACAAGTGTGAACGTGTTAACAGTGACTGGTAATAGTATAGTGTATACACTGTGTAATAACTAGTCTGATGGACACTGTATTTTGTACGATGACTTTGCTAAGATTAACAATTGGTGAAATTATCAAACAAATTGAGAACTGTCAATCACAGTGTGATTTTTACATCTGATTTATCTCAATTATATTGAATTTTCAAGGTGTTGTATAAATGTTCGTTTGGTTTGTTGTTTTGTTGGGGTTTTTTTGTTTGGCAGATTATTCGTAATTTTGTTTTAGAACTGAATAACTATATACGATGGATGAATATAAATTGATTTTCAATTCTGAATTAATATAATCAATACCTGAACTAAATATAATAGATCGGTGGTTTAGGATGCTATTTCAGTGTAGACAGGGATATTTCACATGGAACTATAATATACTACTTTATATGTTAATTGCAACTTGATAACCTTCAAATGGTTCACTGCAAATAACGGATACATACATTCATATTATTTGAAATAAGGATAAATAAGTACATGTAATTTACCATGTCCAAACGTATACACATTTTGTAGAACAAATAAATGCATTGCTTTTAACATAACAATTTGTGCGAGGTTAAACTGCATTGAGAGCAGATAAATATGTTCGTTACAAAGTTGCATCAAAGGACGCCGATTTGATCCATATTAATTCCATGGTATTATCGTTATTCCGCTCCATAGGTTAGGCAAAACAGACAATGGTAAAAAATAATTAAAAGAAGATCCTATCCTAATGGTGACTTACATACCCGGAGGGATCATAAACTGAAACACAAACATCCGTGAGATTAACACACATCCACTTTCCATCTTCATCTCGTCGCTGTTAATCCAATGCAAACATTGTTTGTGTGGAGTGTTGTGTTAGTTTATGAGGCTACGATTTGGAGATAATCCGGATTAACAATAATCGGATAATTAAAAGGTTAAGTGGATTACTTGGTTAAGCAAATAGACTAATTAGCTTAGTAGTTTTTGTAATGCTGAGTATTTTTGTAATTTTGGAAGGTATTTAACTAGGAAGTGAAAATGAAGCAAATAGTTGAATCGTTGCACGAATGAGGGAGTGTTCGGGATTTTCTTGAAAAAGGGCTTAGGTGACTGGTTGCAAGTTTAGTCTCCACACAGTGTGTGGACATAGTGCAGGCGTGTGTTGCCTCTCGCAACGTGCTTCTGTTAATGCAGGCTGTACGTGGAATATCCTCAATTACTCGCAGTGGCATGTTGAATTTCCGGGCGTTCATTACCTTTCCGGGATTTCATAGTTTTTTCGACAAACGAACTGAATGTATCGTTCTCGCCGAACCTCTAGATGAGGATGTTCAAAGTGAAGACGATTTGTTTTAATGAAGACGAGGAAGATTTCAATCCACAAAATTGACCTGAATATTTTTCTGTGTCGGATGGTTTGGCGGTGTACTAGGTTATCGAAACAAACCTGATGTACACATAACATCTTTAAGTAGCATTTTAGAAGTCGGGACGTGCAATATCGAACGAACTTTATGGATAACAACTTCTTTTATTTGGTGAGTGCGACGTTTCGATACAGATTCTTGGACAACGGTACACGCATCTGTATCGAAATGTCGCACTCACCAAATATAAACTGTTATCCATAAAATTGTTAAATACTCCAAAAACATAATTTACATGAATATTTAGTAAACAGACGGTGTTAAGCAGTTTCTCAAGTCTCAAGATAAATCGTTTGCATGTCGAAATGATATTTTTGTATCAAAACATTTACCGAATATTTGCCTTGACAATATTATGGTTATGTGTGTTGACACTAGCGCTGTCTAAATATCGCGGGTGAAGAAACATCGAAAATCCGAAAGCTAAATAGCTACCGTTTGCATTGAAATAAACAACTTCAATCATTACGATGCTCGCTTGTCACAGCCACGTGTGATATGTCAACACGCTAAAACAACAGTCATATTTCTCACACTTTACCGTACATCATAATCCTTATCATCACCCTGTGTTGTCTTACCTGTAACATCAAAGAGCGCCGAAAACGCAGGTGAGAATCACAAACAATAAATCACTCTTCGCTCATCAGCAGCAAGGTGCAACCACAGCTAGCGTATTCCGAAATCCTTTCACCGTTTAACACAGCCCCACTCACTCGAACATCACCTCTGCTCCAATTGACGATATAGCGAGGCGACTGAACGCAAATATCCCGCGTACAATGTCATGGCCGGGTAAACATGGCTTCCGCGCTCAGCCAATCAAATCGCAGAAGCCATATCGGTACGGAATCTACTATACTGAATTTAATTCTCTGGATATTGGCTGTAAAAGGCCAAGGGCCTGCGAGCATTGCCTCTTCCTTTGTTTTCCTTCCATTTAACATATCATACCTCGGTAGGTCCGAAAAGCCGGTTACAATAGCCCTGGGGTGGACAACTGATAACGAGGGTCGAGAGATGTACCCTCGAGTTAAGGGGTGTTCTTTAAGACGCTAAAGCCATAGGGAAGATTCTGAGTGATAATGTCTGCACATAGGATCGGCTTTCTCTCGACTTGTCCGATGTCGGACCCGATAATTAAAGTAGTTGTCACGAAAATGCGACTTTTAGCGGGTTTGAGATTGAAATGAAAGCAGTTTCGAGGAAAACAGAAGACTCGTTCTGTAGGAAGACGCACTCAATGTTTATTTAATGAACCGTTAATGCTACGAAATTAGAGATCTTAAAATTTGACCTATTTGAATTTGACTTTTCCTTTGAAGTGCGAAGGGATGAAATTTGACGACGCCCATTTCTATTCAGGTGACCACAGGTCACTCAATCTTAGTTTATTATCTTGATTTTTGCTTTAAATTGAAGTCAGATTGTAGGCTGATAAACAGTTAATGAAGTCTATTAAAACATGTCTGAGAAAATTTGTTTGAAGTTTGATCTTGCCGGCGTGACAAAATGGTGTGTTATTCTACTTAACCCAACTTTAATTAACACAAAATGCTACTTAATGTTTCAGGAAAATATGAAAGGAACAATAGGAACGAAACCGCGAAAAAATAATAAAACACACCAAACATATTCCTAATGCAAACGTTTATTTTCATTTCATTTTAGAAACATATAATTTCATTTTTATATTTATAGCGAAATATTCGCTGTGGCTGAGCCGATTAACGCATTGATAACACCCACTGAACACAGAATATGTACATTTTTCACGCTTGGAATAGTATTCATACATTCAAAATTATACATCTTAAAATCCACAACAGCCCTCCACTTCAAAGGGACGAACGTGTCTATTTCATCTAAAGTTGCACACTTAGTCTGACAATGTACATCATGTACATTATAAACAGAATTACAGACATTACTTGTGTGTCGCGTGGTAAACATGCTCAACTAAAAGCGATTATCGGAATAAAAGCATTTTTGATATTCAGCCAAATTTTGTCTTAGAGAGACAGTAAACCTTTAATCATATCCAAAAGAATTTATAATTATAAAAAACATATGTATTTCGACTATTTACATTGATAGTGAATCGGTGTATACGTGTATATGAAGAGAGTACACTATGTCTTTCATCATGAAAGCATTATTCTTTATAACAGCGGGATTTATAACAGTAAATACATTACTTAGAGTTGAAATAGACTGGAAGGCACGAATAATGAAGACTCGATGTTTATGATCGGCATTGAAATTCATTCCTTTCTTATTGCTGAAGGCGCATTATCATTTTTAAGAGGGTTGGGAAGCATAGATCTAGCGTGCACGATTTTAAACACTTTATGGCCAATTTATAGCCTACCAACAATTTGTATACATGATAACCGACCTGTTAACTTCAACTTTGCAAACTTCCACGCACTATTGTATGATTGTGTGAATGTTAGAACTGTGTTGCAGTTAACGCTAACACAACCATCTTGATAGATAGTCTTCCAGCATGAAATACAATAACGTAGTATGAAAACGCTAACGAAGCAATATTGACTGAGGTAATCGACACAGTTATTACAATGTCCTGGCATGTCATACACACTCATATGCAGCAACTCTGACAAAAGTGGTGAGACAAATATATTCCTGGAAGCAAATACCATATGTTGCTGTTGCTGCTGCTGCTACTACTACTACTACTACTACTACTACTACTACTACTACTGCTGCTACTACTACTACTGCTGCTACTGCTGCTGCTGCTGCTACTACTACTGCTGCTGCTGCTGCTACTACTACTGCTACTGCTGCTACTGCTGCTACTACTGCTACTGATGCTGCTACTACTGCTGCTACTACTACTACTACTACTACTGCTGCTGCTGCTGCTGCACTACTACTACTGCTGCTGCTACTACTACTACTGCTGCTGCTACTACTACTACTGATGCTGCTGCTACTGCTGCTACTGCTGCTACTACTACTACTACTACTGCTGCTGCTGCTACTACTACTGCTGCTGCTGCTACTACTACTACTACTACTACTACTGCTACTACTACTACTACTACTGCTGCTGCTACTACTACTGCTGCTGCTACTGCTGCTGCTACTGCTACTACTGCTGCTACTACTGCTACTACTACTACTGCTACTACTGCTGCTGCTGCTACTGCTACTACTACTATGCTACTGCTGCTGCTGCTGCTACTACTACTGTCTCTGCTACTGCTCACTACTGCTACTACTGCTGCTACTACTGCTGCTACTACTGCTGCTGCTACTACTACTACTACTGCTGCTACTGCTACTACTACTACTACTGCTACTGCTGCTGCTGCTACTACTACTACTACTGCTGCTGCTAACTTGCTGCTGCTGCTACTACTACTGCTGCTGCTGCTGCTACTACCTTCACTGGTACTCCCCCTTCTCCTCCTCCTCTCCTCCTTCTACCACTACTACTGCGCGCTGCTACTGTTACTGCTGTAACTACTACTACTGCTACAACTACTACTGCTGCTGCTACTACTGCTGCAACTACTACTACTGCTGCTGCTACACCGTCACGGCTCCCCCTCCTCCTCCTCTCCTCCTTCTGCCACTGCTACTGCGAATGTTACTCTGTAGCTACTACTACTGCTACTACAACTACTACTGCTGCTGCTGCTACTACTGCTGCTACTACTACTACTGTGCTGCTACTATCACTGCTGCTGCCTACCTCCTCTTCCTATCCTCCTTCTACCACTGCTACTGCGAATGTTACTCTGTAACTACTACTACTGCTACTACTACTACTACTACTGCTACTACTGCTGCTACTACTACTACTGCTGCTGCTACAACTACTTCTACCACTTTCACGATGTTGTACCACTGCTACCACAAATAATACCACGGCGCCCCGCTACTGCAGTTGCAACTAGTACAGCTAATAAACCAAGCATGTTGAAACTTTGGGAATTATTAAGAAACACATCTAAAGATAATATTGCAAAATTATGTAAATACATAAAGTTATGCATGTAAGTACCGAAATGTTTTGTCCAGCCTCCTTTTTGTAAATGTAAAAAATATGTATATTTCAATGGACAACCATATTCTATCATGTATACAGTGTAAAATGATAACGAGGGGCATATAGCCCAAGTCTTCACTGAATAAACAATCGAATGGAATAGTACTGCCACTATAACTTATTCCACGCTACTAATTAGTACTCCACCATCACCGGTAGTAGCCATGCCTTTAGTGCAATGCAGATAAACATATCTACCTCGCACTACCTATCTGTTTCAAAATTACAACAATGCTTCGAAAAGACATTCTCCCAAACTCTCTCAAAACCATCTTGTCGAAAAGTAGACAACCCATTACACTTTATGACCCATCTCTATCCTACAGTGTACCTCGACAGACAATGATGATGTGTTATGCCAATCTGCAATGAGTCACCTTGTCACATGGTCACCATGCCATCTCAAGCCAATTTTGTTTTTAGCACATGCACGGACGTCTTGAAATAAATATGTCCAGGTCGAGTCTTCGCGAGTGAAAGCGATATTAGCACTTCATGTTGATATTTTATTTTCCGGTAATTTATCGCCAATGGTCATATAAGGGTAAGATGGTTTAATCTACGTATTGTGTGAAGTCATACGTTCAAACAAGTCACGAAAGTTGTCAAAACGTAACACGAGATCCCGCGATATTTGAGTCGATGTGGACATGCGCACTCGGTTTATCTACCAAAAGCATCTGCAGGGGACTTTAGCCCGAACAAAAAAGTGGACGAAATCAGAGCAAGCGAGTCATCACGCTTCGTCGGTGCTCGGGGTTCGTTCTCGGCAAGACATCTAAAACCCATCTGGAAAACGATAATCAGTTGTTCTCCAGAATACAACCAGTGACCCCTGGCTTTGGGGCGAGTTTTTGTACACATGTCCCCCGGGGAGAGCCCGGACACAGGGGCAGGTGAGGATTGTCCGACTGTGAGGGGGGACAATAAAGACAAATATTTGGTCACTTTTGGTCTATAAATACTAAAACATATCATTATAGTGGTCTTTTGTGCATCCCTGCGCGACCTGCCAGCAGATCTCGGCCACCACATGATGAGATAACTAGAGCCAATTACTGCCCGCTTTGTGGAGAAATATTAGAAATTTCGAGATATTAATGTCTAAATTTGATGCGCACGTAGTAAGATGGTTATCGTGATGTTCTCATGAAAGATATATTTTCAAGTCATTGTTGTGATGTACGCGAGATGAAGAAGATTGTTTGTGCGACATATGGGTTATACCGCCGCTATGTTGATTTTGATCAAAACTGACAATAAAATATTTCTTGATCAATTTATTTAAGTAAATACTTGTGGCTAAAATGAGTAATTGGACTCACACTAAGTTAATTCACAGTAATTGATTTTTGAGCGTCACGGAAATTTCACGTTAATGTTGTAGATCCTGCCGTCCGTGTGTTTAAGGCGATTTGTATAATTCACACTTGTCGTTTTCAATCAGCTGATCTTGTATTTTGCACTTGTCAATTCTAAGCCTTGTCGATTTCAATCAGCTACATTTGTGTCTTGTTTCTGTCAATTTGCCATCGTTTTGTATTTTGTGGGTATTCAGAGTACGGACATGGTAACGGGTATGAATCCCGTTGTATGAAAAGTCTGAAGAGTTAGTGAGTGAAAGCTGTTTTCCTACGCAGCTTGAAATGTCCAAGTTATTTCGACCGCCGGTA